TGGGGGGGGGGGGAAATAATTGAGAAATCATTACAGATCAACCAGTTTTACTTACTTTACTTACTACTGCTTAATACTTACTACTAGGCCAAATTTGCCAGTGTTTTCAGAGGGATGAAAAAGGCATGTCACTGATATACAGGCCACCTTTTACTAAAGATAAAGTTCCTGCTACTTAGAGCCTTTTTAACAGGTTGCCAGAATTTTAACTTTTTGCTTTTGCTGCTTCCTGTAAAACAGCTTAATTATTTCCAGTTAAAAGGTTCCAAAAATCAACCTGAGGCAAATATACTAAGAAAATTTCAGTCCAAATATTAGATGTTTTCAGTTGCTTTTAAATTCAAGAAACAAGATCTGTAAATGGGAAGTGAATAAGTGGTTCCACCTGCTCTGTCTATCTGCAGCACATCAGCCAGCAGGTTTCTTGCATGATGTAGTCTCAACTTTAGTAGTCTAATTTAGATTTTTTTTTTATAGCATTTTGGAAATTCTTGTGTTGCCATCTGGGCCACAGTATGAAGTGGTGGTAAAAGGTGAGGTGGAAATCATGAGAAACAAGACTTTGGCAACAGCTCCCTCCTGCTCAGACATCCCACCTATTCTCTCCAACAAGCAGTTTGTGGCATGGGGAGGGGTTGCACTTGGACGAGCAGAGTAAGTACCAGTGTTAAAGTCCTTCATATCTTTGTCCTGTTTAGAATATTTGCTCTACGCTTGTTTTGTTAATGCGATTGTACAATGCTTGTATTTAGACTTGCAATTTGACTTTAAAGGTAAAGTAGATGTGGCCCAAAATATACGAGTGATAATAGAGAGTGAATATGCTAAATAATCTTCTATCCTGGGGAAGGTCTTAGAAAAGTTTATTAAACAGGCCATCCTTATGGACTGGCTGACACCAACAACCTGAGGGATAGCCAGCATGGAGCAATGAGCTTGCAAAGTGATGCTGCGGCTGGTAAAGCGACCAAAAACTAGCTTGCATCCGTAGGTGCTTCTCAAGCAAATCCTGGGACGTCATTCTCCCCTTGTACTTGGCCTTGGTGAGGCTGCAGCTGGAGTACTGCATCCAGTTTTGGGCCCCACAATTCAAAAAGGATGTGGAGAAGCTTGAGAGAGTCCAAAGAAGAGCCCACACGCATGATCAGAGGTCAGGAAAACAGACCTTACGACAACAGGCTGAGAGCCATGGGGCTCTTTAGCTTGGAAAAGTGCAGGCTCAGGGGTGGTCTGGTTGCCACCTATAAGTTTTTATCAGGGGTGACCACCAGTATCTGGGGGAATGTTTGTTCACCAGAGTGCCCCAAGGGATAATGAGGTCGAACAGTTATAAACTAGTGCAAGACCATTTCAGGCTGGACATGAGGAAGAATTTCTTTACTGTCTGAGCCCCCAAGGGCTGGAACAACCTGCCATTGGAGGTGGGTCAAGCACCTACACTGGACACCTTCAAGAGTAAATGGGATGCTTATCTTGCTGGGATCCTATGACCCCAGCTGACTTCCTGCCCTTTGGGCGGGGGTCTGGACTCGATCTTCCGAGGTCCCTTCCAGCCCTAATGTCTATGAAATCTAAAATAGTAATTTTTATCATACGCTAGAGCCATGTGCAGGATGCTTCTTCAGCCTACAACTTCATTTGTAGGATGTAGCTCAAATCTATGGAAAAAAATCAAATTCCATGGATATGTTAGCTGCTTTAGTAGGCCAAAGCAGGCCTTGAGAAATTTACACCAACTTGATTTTAATTAAAAGTTTATTTTAATTGGTTGGTTCACTCTCTCTTCTAGTGCATATAATGTATTTAATTTGGTTTTTGCTAAATGAATTCCTTGGCAACTAAAAATTTCTGTCTTAAAAATAAAATATCATGTACATTTTGGGGGGGGGGTGTGATTGTGGGTAGGTATTTATGTGCGTGTGCGTACACACACAGGTATACACTTCAGATTTGGCACTGAATGAACCTGTGTTTAAAGCTGGAGTGGTTTTGCTGCTTTTGTACCATTCCTGGCTTGTCCAGACAATTAGCAATTAGAACGTAACAGCTGCTGCCCTTTTAAAATGGCTCCAAATGTATTGATATGTTTATCCATAGCCTAAGTCCCTCTTGCTCATTCATCAGTCTTGATAAAATCTATTAATTAAGGTCATATCTTAAAATTATAGTATGTAATTCTGAGAAGTCTATTTTACTGGCAGAATTAATCTTTTGAGAATTTAGCTTAAGTTTTCAGAGTTCAAATTAACAACATCGAGTTAAGTGATAGCTGGACTTCATTGTACCAGAACTAGTTTATGTACAAGTATTTTTCTTCTCTATTACTACACAAGATCAGGATAAATAGGGGCTCAGGATACTGACTTTGAAACCTTAATTCCAGAGATTTTATATTTTGTGATGGTAAGTATTTTTCAAAATCTGCAGTTTCCTACTTTCCACCTTCCACCCACTGGTTCCTCCCAAAAATTGACCATTCTTTGCCATGAATAAAATGGATATTTAAGTTGATTGCTTAATTATGTATATTACAATCTATCTTAAATGTTTTTCAGTCTACAGAAATTAACTCTAAGAAATAATTCTCCATCTACATCTCAGCATCTACGATTGTTGATAAGTGGTCAGGATCAAGACTGCTTTCAGGTTAGATTGAAAAATTCTATTTAATGTTGTTCAGAGAATCTGTGAAATTGATGCCTTATTTTAGTAAATGTTAATGTATTTATCTGCCTAAAATAGTGTCCTTTCAGATTTTAATCTAAAAGTGCTTTTGTTACATAAGTTTTAAAAACGGAGATCAGATACTGGGTACAGTGCAAACAGTAACATTTCAAAACTCATGGTAAATGAATAGACAAATGATCAGTGTGCATTTCAGAAGGTTTAGTCCTTTGAAACTAGGCACCACCTGTTTCACTGAGAACAGTAAAAACTAGTTTCTGCCAGTTGTTTGTGACAGTAACCTCAAAACTGTTTTTTCACCCTGACTTTGAAATAGTGGTAATTTCATAAAACTGAGTTAAATGAACTGAATCAAGATTATTAGTGGTATATTTGATTTTATTAGAAGATCTTTTTATATTTGTCTTGCATTTATTAACTTGTATTTGTACTTATAGCTGCAAAGTACGTTTGGTACAGAAGAGCGGTTGACCAGTACTCGGGAACTCAAAATCCGTCCGAAAGAAGATGCTAATATTTACTTGATGTTTGCACCTAGTCGTGTAACGTACATGTTAGCAAAGCTTGAAATCAAACAGCTGGGGATTCAGTCGCAACCAGGGTTTAAGTTTAGTGTAAGTTCTGGTTTTGTTTTCTAAATATTTAGTTAAACTAGAGCTGTGTAGCTTTACAGCATTAAGATTACTTGTCCTAAAGGAAAGGAGAAATAGATTTTTTGCTTTTTGTCCTGTTTAAATTTTTAAAATTTATTTGACTTCTATGCCACTCTCCTCAAAAAGGCTCAGGGTGGCTTACAATAACAAAGACGTAAAAATAGAAAAAATAAAAAGCCAATAATAAATCAGTTCTCCAAGGAGTACTCAGAGCCTAGCCCCACCTGTTAAAAGCCTGCTCAAATACGTTCTTATATTGTTTCTGAAAGATGGCCAAAGCTTGCACTCTGATGGCCCTCAAGGAGGCCGAGTCCTGCAGCTGAGGAGCAAAACTGAGAATAACCTACCAAAGATTTTGGTCAAGTGAATTTGTTGCACAAATGGTAGTTACAGGAGTTTCTTCTTGACGCCCTAGAGATTATAAGAGACTGCCTTCTGCTCCATTAGATTTGTAGGACTCCGGCTAGTTATGGCTTTATAGGTTAAGACCAGCATATTGAATTGTGACCTTAAAGCTACTTGGAGGCAGTTCAGTCTGATCCCTATATTTGGAGTCTGGAAGGATTTTACCTTATGGTTAGATTGATATGGACTGCCAGGGATTTTGGCTTCCTCTGTAGCAGGGGGCATGGCCCTCTACCTGAGATCTCTTGAGCATATATTAACAACCTTTTACAGAAGCAAGATGTTGGCTGCCATGCTCCCCTTGTTTTATCTGTGTGGCAGGTTAGTGTTGTCATGGCTGACAGTAGTTTTACTAAGAGTTAGATTATGGATTTGCATAGAATGGTTTGGATCAAGGCGATGCTAAGGCAGAGGGTTGAACTAGATGACCTCTGAAAATTCCTTACAGCTCTACTTATCTATGATTTCTGTCAGGCTGAATCCTATCAATAATGTGTATCCCTATTTCTCTTTCCCTCCCCCAAGTCATCAAGTCTGCTCCCCACCGTCACCCTCTCTCGTCTATATTCATCTTCAGTTGGATCTCCCACATCCAGTCTCCAACTGTAGGCAGACATTGGGTAAAGACAGAGACTACGGAGCCTGGGTTGCATGAAGAGAGAAAGCTGGGTGTCATTAGCATACTTGGGGCACTTCAGATCTTCACGCAGTCTTGCCCAGTGGTCACAGATGCACATTGAATTGGGGTCAGTGACAAGATGGAACGCTCAGGGACACTGTAGGAAAGGTCCTGAGGGGCAGATGAGCACTTGCCAATCACTACCCACTAGGAAAGAGTGGAATCAGTTGAGAATGGTCCTGTGACCAGGTCACTTAAACATTATCTACATTCATGTTTACTTGAAATGATGAAAGGCCCCTAATATAGTGATTCTCAACCACGGTGCTTGGGCATCCTGTGGTGCCTTGAGATCCTTTTGGGGATGTCACAAAATGTTTACACTGTTAGGCATGCAAACATTCACAAGATAAACCCAGAGATTTTCTGACCTGTTGTAGTCTTTCTGAGTTCTTTGCAGCAGAAGAATTGCTCTGTTGTTTTTTCTTGGTCAAAAAAATAAGTGAAAGGTAAGGTGGCATTTTCTGAGGGGTTCCTTGAGTCTATTGTTAGGGTACCTTGAGGCTGAGAAGACTGAGACCCACTGATAGAATAGGATCAGCAGGTTGCAATTTTCTTCTGTCTATCTCCAGGCAAAGTTCATTGACCAAGGCCACAAGCTCGTTCTCTGTACTCTATCCAGAACAAAAGCCAGACAGGCTTCCTGGAACTGGATGGTACCCAGATACACCTGGTCAGGCAGCCAACCATTCAATAACCTTCCCAAAGAGGGGAAATTGGATATAGGGTGGTAGCAGCTGGGGAATCAATCTCAAGATTTTTGTTTTTTCAATAGGCACTGGACAGTTGCAGACTTTGTCTAGCACCCTACCCCCCACACGGAGGCATTGACCAACCTCTGTCATTATGGTTCCCAATATCCACTGACTGGCTTTTTACAAGCCAGGACAAGCACAGGTCTAGTTCACAACTGGGAGGTATTTGAACCCTAGACTTTCTTTTCCTGTTGGTAGGCTGGCTAAGTAAGTTTTAACAGGATGTTAAGGAGCCTGAGGGTGTGGGCAGACATCTTAAGGTGCTTCCAACACCTTTGAAGGTCTTCAGAGGGCAAGCAGCCAGATGGACATGCTTTTTGAAACGCTCCAAAAAGACCCATGTAGAAAACTACCATTTGGAAGTTCTTCCTGTTGCATACATGCATTCTACACGGTGCAGTAGGGGAGAGCTTGGTTCTTCAGTGTCCCATAGTGCTTTGCTTCCCTTCTCCCCTGTGAAGGGAGGGCGGGGATGAGTGGGTCAAACTGTTAGCAAATGCTCCCCTCCCCTCTGCTCTCTTGAGGCCTCCCCACTACCCCCGTAACTGGGAGACTAGAGTCAGTGTACCGATCATAGTCTCTGCGACACAGATGTAGAGCACACAAGAGAGTGCTTGCTGACAGTTGGCTCTGCAACAAGGCAGCTGCCTTTTTGAAGTGTTTCAAATGTTGAATCTGTCCCTACCCAGAATAAACATATATTTTAATCATTTGACATGGTCTCTTTTCAGTTTACCAGGTATAAAGCGTGTTCAGTTTAGGCTGTTGCATTTTTAATTAACGTGCATTAGCTGCATAAAAATATTTCAGAAGAGACTTAAAATTAAAGTGAATGTACTTCTTTGTTTTCAGATACCTTTGTGTGGATATGGAGGAACAAGCAATGTCATTTTGGAAGATGTCAGAAAAGTATCAGATTGTTATGTGATAAAACTGAATGGCTTATTGCCTGGCAAATTAAAAAAGGTGTCTTTTCGCGTAAGAAATACAGGTTCTCGAGCTGCTTATGTTAGAACACTGTGCTTTTCGGATCTGAAGACTAGAGCCCTTATGGATCTGAAAATGATAAGTGTATTTCCTGAGAAGTTTGTACTTAAGGAAAAAACACAAGAGGTAAGTGCACACAATTCCACAGGAGTTCTGCTAATTTAAATAAAGTTGGTATCTTCAGCTAGTATGTGACCTGTAAAATGCATGCACGTTCTTCAGTTGAACTTGTAAATTCTGAATCAAGTTACAAAATTCAGAATATTAACATCACTGGTGAATTTTATACAATTTTGGAGAAACTAAGAAATGAAACTTCCTTTCAAACAGGTAGTTACAATCACATGGAATCCTGTCGAACGGGAAGAAATATTTAATAAAACAAGTACATCATTGTTAGCTACAATATGTCTATTCTGTGGAGATGAAGTTTCCAGACAACAGTATCGCAGGTAAAATTGAATTTATTTCTCAAAAATAGACATTCTTATTTAAAAAAAATCCATGTTGAAAGAAAGGTGTGAAGTAATGCTAGTATGACTCCTACAGTTATTTGTAGATCATTGTAAGAGAACTGGAAAATAACTTATACTCTCAAAGCATGGAGCCTCAGATCTTCTAGCATGTATTAAATACAAGTGATCATAGTATCAGAAGACATTCAACTTCCTTAATAAATTAAAAAAAAAAAATAGAGAGAGCAAGAACCTGAGGGAAATATGTAGAAGTGTGTTGGGTTTGGAGTTGTTTTGTGAAACGCTTTCAGTGAGATCTTTTCCCTTCTCCCTACATAAGCATATAAAGCAGCAAGAACTGGTATATTTGCATGCGTGTGCATTTGTGTCTTCATTATCCTAGTAACTTTTGCTTATAAAGTTCCTAAACTTGAGAGAAATTATTCATTAATCAGTTATACAGATTGTAGAGTAAATTATGAACTGTAATAAAAATGAACCAGCCCCCTCTGCCTTTAATGAACTGACATATAATGAACACATATGGAACTAGATCTAAATTCCAACATTTTGAAGTTGGAAAATAATAAACATTAAGAACAACCAGGCAGTTTTACATATGTACTTAAAAATGATCAGTTGGTCCAAGATTCCATTAAATATGTGCCATCAGTGTAAGTATAGTCTTAAGGGAAGTGATCAGGATAGGGTGATCATTTTGCATCATTGTACAAGCCCTTTAGAGCTTATGGAACTCGCATTGTTCATCAAAAGAATGACTTGATTCAGAAAGCTAACTTTCCTTCATATCAAGTGTTCTAGTTGAGGGACCTGTTACGGGAAGAGGGCAGATGTCTAAAATAGACACTGAATGTGCCAGTTACTAATTAGTTACCAGGGTATTGGGTATATCAACTCTACATAAATTTGGGAAAGCAACAAATTAAAGCTAATGTTGAGATGACAGTTTTGATAAGGCAGCCTGTTAAGTGGCTAGGCAACAGTGAATTTCTAATTCCAGTGACTAACCTGGGTAGAAAGTAATGGCATTTATCAGGATTAAACATGCAGCTCTAAACAAATAACTGAAATCTAGCATTATTTATCTTGCCGTTAGTAAGTTGCCTTAATTCGGGGCTATTTTAAATGATTTAGAACTACTTCATAAGTAGGGACTGGTTTAAATTGTGGCCAAGCTTGCAGCATGGTGTTACCTTTAATGTTGGAGTCCGCCCCACCATGCACCCCACCCCATCGCTGATTTCTCAGTTTGTTCCTGGTGGCTGGAAAACAAAAACTGTGGTTTTAAATATGGCATGTTTAAAACAGTGGCTTTTGCATCCCGGCCATCAGGAACAAGTGGTGAGCGGCAGGGTCCCTCTGGGGGAGTGTGCAGGGGAACTCCCAAGATTCAAGGAGCTGCTGCTCTGCAAGCTAGGCCTGCAATTTTAAACCAGGCCCTATCCATAAGCATTGTTTTTGAGGGGAGAGTTTGTAGATTCTCCTCTTGTGTGACAATTTACTGCCAACTGTCTGCAAGTCTTTTTGTTTTTCTGGGGGGGTTTTGTGCTGACAAGGATGAAAAAATAGAAAACAAAATCAGATTAAAAGGTCATGACCTATACAAGTGGTAACTACAACTCCAGTGGATTTATTCAGCTTCAGGATACTGGGGCATGGTGAAGAAGATTTAGTTGGTTTATTAGCCAACAAGCAATACTTTCGTTTTCTTTACTTGAAAATGGTGACCTCATCTTTTTTTCCAGGTCTTGGGGGCTCAGACAGTAAAGAAGTTTTTCCTTGTGTCCATGCCCTGCCTGATTTCCTGTCCCTGGAGCAGGGGGCTGTACTAAATCTTCTGAGGTTCCTTCCAGCCCTAATGTCTATGTCTATGAAATGTTGTCTGTCATTTTGAAAGGATTTTTCAGGGCTTAATTGGTGAAATGAGAATAAGGTGTTTTTTTCTTCTTCTAAAATGACCCATTTGGGTTTGGTTTAAAGTTCCTGTATGTGAGATAGTGGGATCATGGTCCAAAGGTGTAGTTATTAGGGTGGAAATAGACAATGAGCAATGTTTTGTTTAATGAGGTGGATCAACTGTGCCAGGACAGCTTCTTTTCAGTTATTTTTACATCCAAAATAAACCAGTGAGCAGGTTCACTTTTTTGTTCTGATATATTTGCGGTAAGTAGTCAGTCCACAGACCGTACTGTAGTCATGTTATAAAAGTTTTTGCTAATACTGATTTAACTTTTTGATGTCATAACTGAAATAGTAAAGCACCAGTCAGATGCTTAGTAATGTGCATTGAGCTTACAGTTACTGTTGTGCAGGGATGTGTATTAACTTTTACTATGTATTTTGTTTGAGTGTAAGAGTTGATGACTTGATTCTGAATAGTAGTTTTACTTCAATTTGGGTAAAAGATGCACATGTCACTCATTGTCCCACCATTGATCCTGTGAGACAATGGGCGACATGTTCTCTCATGGTTGGAGGTGCCTGGTTCTGCGCACTTCAGGTATTCCCACACAGGATTGGGCCCTTTAAGCCCTGGGAACACCTCCCTGGAGCTCCTTTAGCTTAGAGTAAAATGTTCACTTCCTGAAACTAACACTTTGGGATTTTAATTTCCTACGAAGACCTATGGTTAATAAGTAGGTTGACTGACTTGAAAGTGACTTCAAGAGAATGTATTTGATGTGGGATGTGAAAGGTTAAACAATTAGCATACTGGTCAAAGGGCTCAGGGAGCAGCTCCCAGCAACAGCTGTCTGAGCTGCCTTGTTATCAGTTAATTATTTAACTGATATAATTAGAGATGGTTAAATTTAATATTATTTTAAACAATATTTAGATCCCCAGTTTGTGTTTTAAGTATTACTTAAGAAACTGAACTAAATCAGTTGTGTTTTATGGCTACAGTGGTTTCAGATGATAAACTGCTATTAGACAGCATCTTTAAAGAAGGGAAATACGACTAATCAGATGACGTGCTACTGTTGAATCCATCTTACATTTTGTGAAACTCCCTTTGTAGAAATCTTGGGTAGTGTTAACATTTTAAGTGAGTTTCTAAATTCCTGAAGCACAGTTTGTAGTAACCACACACAGCCGCTTACATTTTCAGCTCTCTGGAAGGGCAGCATCTTATTCTGTTGCTGTTTTTACATGGTAGCCTATAGAGATGCACCAATGCATTGGCCGCATATTGGATCAGCACCGATTTTTATGAGGAAAACTGATAGTATTGGCAATCAGCTTTTTTTGGCTGATGTGACTGATAATGTTGCCAATAACTGCCCTGCGTATGTGCTGGGAGGGGGGTGACAGCTTCTGCTGCTGCACACACCCCAGGAAGGCATGGGGGGGTGCCCCCAGATTTGTGCCCAGGGCAAGGGTAGGCTGCTGCTGTGGAATGGGGCTGGGGCGGCACCAGGCTCTTCTGGCAGGGGGGTTGGGCTAGGGCTGTGGTCGGGGCGGGTGGTGGTGGCAGTGCTGGGAGGGTGGCTACAATTAATTTTGGGTTGGCTGCAACCCCTCGCACCCCATAACTCCCCTCTCAGTGCTGCTGTCCAGCCCAGCAGAGCTCGGTGCAGTTCTGGCCACAGCGGCAACCCACCTTTGCCCCATGTGCAGATCTGGGAGCACATGTCCCCCATGCCCTCTTGACAATACGGTGCTGTAGCAATGAGCTATGGCACCATAGCATCTCATGTAGATATGCCCTGTGAGTTTCATAAGCAAGGAAATTGTGGAATTTTACTTATCTGGTTGAAGTGAGTGAAAGGAATTTCTAGTTGAATTTATAAGAAAGACTGTCTCAGTTAGCTCTGCCATTATGGAGCAGATTTCTTGAATTTTTTCATCAGAGAACAATGAACACATTGATGTATTTAGTAAATATTATGAAAGCTGGCATGATGGTGGGCACTCTTCCTAAAGTGTGCAGTTCTACTGCAGGTGATTTTAAACTGAAATTGATTGGAGTCCTAAAGAGGTTTTCTTTCTATCTCCTAACAGAGCTATACTATGTAAACCTGAAGCAGCAAAACAAATGCTCCCTGAACACAGTGTGCTGAGAAATGTTAAGTTTGATGAAGAATTTAGAGGGGAGCAGCTAGTGGCTGAAGGTAATCCCCTAACTGCTTAAAGAACTAATTCCTGAAAAAGTATTTCCTAGCCTAGACTCAACTCTTCTGTGCAACTCTTGCTAAATATAGATGAGAAAATACCAGATGACACAAAATACATTGATTCTTTCTCGCTCTCTGCCCAGACAATCTTGTTTCTTGTCTGTCTAATGTCATGGTTTGTTAAATAAACTGTGTAAGATGTTTGTGGCAATTATACTGTGTGTGTACCAGTTGAGATGCAATAGGGCCCTGTGTTGGTTGGCCCTTACTTCCCCTGGCATTATGCATGTTAAATTTTTTCAAGTGTTTCTTCCTACCTATCATTGCTGCTTGAAAAAATAAAGAGCAACATTTATTTTTATGTAAATTGTTTCAGCTTGCAAAAGATGCAATTATAATTTTTCTTTAGGAAATTAAGGTCTGCAATATGGCTTTTTAAGAAATGTTGTTATAATTAAAAAAAGATTTTGGAGATAAATATGTCTGCATTAAACCGTTCCTTTTCTTTCATTTTTTTTATATCATGATCAAGGAACTTTTATGTTGATTTTTCACTTGCATTCTTTGGAAGGTGCCTTTTTGTTACGTGGTGAAAACCCTCAAAACCTTTGTGCATCTGAAAAACTTCAGATTGAATGATGAAAACCATGCATGTTCAGTAAACATTCCTAATTAAGTGTTACTTGAGTATAAAAGGAGATTTACCATATTTATCCTAATCCAGGACAACCTTCCCCCCAGTAATTAGATTCTGTACATGGAAAATTGTGCATTTTGTTATAGTTTTCCATGTATATAATCTAACTATTGGAGAGTCATTCAAATTATTCCCTCCTCTACTGCTGCAGGTGGGGAGCAGGTGATGTGGGGGGGGGGCCCTGCTCCGGATTCTCCACCCCCCACCCCCAATCTGTGGTCCTACTCCCCCACCAGTTACCCTTGCTCTAGTACTGACAGGTTCTTTCTCTGCTCCAGCCTGGGGTGTAGAGCATGGCCCCAGTCTGGCCCCAAAGCATAGGCATAGAGCTGGCAGGGCTTCTTTCAAAACAGCTTGAAATAAATTCTATTTTCCACCTCCTCCCTCCCACAAAAGCTGCTAGGGTGAGTGAGATGCTCTAAATGGAGGTTGTGATTGATGCTAAAATTTTAAAATTATGTTACGTTATGGTAGTTTCTTGTCCCAAAAGATTTTGAAATACTTCATGAATTGCATACATACTGCTTTTGTTGAAATGAACCTACTTCTGAGATTAAAGGTTGGCAATTTGCCTATATATGTGCATTTGACCAGAATGTGCTTGCACAGTATGCTATGGCAAATACTCTTATGGATAATATTTCCCACCTGGAATATGCCCCATGCATTTGTGTAAAAATTATTTCTTCTTTGTGAGTGGGAAGATAACGCTAAACACATGAACCATGTAAGAGTATTTAGTGCACTATTTTGAAATAAATATTTTGAAATGTTGATATTGTGTATAAAGTTTGCTTTTAAGCGTTGTCATTAGTATGTCTCCTAAAGTTTAATATCAGTAATTTTCAATGTCACCACCAACTACCCAGTCAGTGTTCTCTTCATCAAATAAAAATGGTGAAAGGAGTATGAATAGAAGTCAGATTTCCTAGCAAGACAGGGATAGAGAAGAGAGAGCAGCAAAATAGGGGAGAAATAGCAGTAGTCTAAAGACTAGCGTACTTTTGTGGTTGGGTGTAATACCTGTGGCAGATAAGGAACTAAGTGACAGTGTTCAGTTATTACCTCAAAGCCAGATTCTACCATTGGTCTTGTTTTTTTTCAAGTCTCCTATTCTTTTTTAACTATAGGTTAGAAACTCAAATAGAATTTGACATCTTGCAGTCAAGAGTTATTACATGCCTAACTTAAGTATTCCTAAACTGATTTTTTTTTTTTCCTTAGGTGATATAGAACTGGACATGAAAATAATTATTCTTTCTAGCTTCTGCACAAGAGAGTCAACAATATATTGACATGAATAGTTTATTGTAAGAAAGTACATTTCCTGTATTTTTAAGGCACATCTAATACCTTAAAAATACAGGAAATGTACTTTCTTATGAAATAAAATTAAAAATCCCACAAACATGAGACAATACCCATGTGCAAACGCACACACATCAAAGCACACACTTGGGAGAAGTTGCTTTCAAATTTTTTGCATTTCCTTTTGATGTGTGTGGTTTCATGTTTGTGGGATTTAAATTTTTATTCTTTTAATTCAGAAGTCAGAGGGCACATCTACACAAGCTTTTAATGCGCTGTTTTTATGGTGCATTTTATGGCGCATTAAGTTCAGTACCTGAAATACCAGGCACTAACATAATCCGCCATAACTGGTGTTACTGTGCAGTAGTGCCAGTGCACATCCTTTTACATGACACTAATGTGCAGTAGATTAATTGTACTGTGCGTTAGCGCGTCACGGCGAAAGCCGTGCTAATATGCCAGTGTGCAGTAGAATTAATCCTACTGTGCTTTTGGTGTATTGTATAGACATGCCCAGGGTCACCCTCCTAGCCACACTAAAGCTCCAGTACTCATGGGAGCTTGAATATTTTTAAGTTCTGTATCTTATTTGCTTCTAAGTATCATTTCTCAGAACTCCATCTAGTGATGCCCTTAGGAATGGTTTTATTTTGTTCATTTTCATATTCTTTTTTTTCGTTTTTCTGTGATGGAGCCTAAAATCAGAACAGCATGCAGCACTTCCATAAATGGAGAAAAAAACAATATTCTTAATACAGTTTTTTTTAATCCAAATAGGCGACTGCAGTAGAATAGCTGTGTCTTACGTTCTGTGCTTGTTAACTCATGCCTGACAGTTGCAAGCAGCCAGACCTATTTAGCTACAGGTTCAGTAATTCAAACTAATATGCTAGATAATGTCTCATCCAGTTTTAATTATTAGTTAGTCAAGTGAATCTTTGAACGTTCATGCCTTTCAATGCATAATTACAAGGCTTAAGTTGTTCCTCTTTAGAAATTTTCATTTTAGTACTTCATTTCTTTTTAGCATACGATCTGCATCCAAGGACAAATTACATTAATCTTTTTTATGGAAATATGCGTAAAGTCACTCTTTCTGTTGTTGGAGATTCCACCTTTAACAGGAATTGTCTTCAGCTATCTCCAGGACACAGGTTGGAGTCAGACAGGTAATGTCTGCTTTGAAAATAAAATATTTTAAAGATGTACTTTAACTTCCTGTTAACTGCCTTATGTTCCTTTTCATATCAGGTAATTAATAAATAGTCTTCCCTCCCCCAAGGTGATGGATTGGTAAAAACTGTGAGTTATGACTATTAGTCACTAAATTCACTTTTGTTCATCTGCTGCTGCTTTAATTATGAAATTTTCTGCCAGTATTCTGAAAATGGATGTTCCAAGTTGACAGTTAGAATGGGCTTTGTATCTGCATCTTAGCTTGCATTCTGCTAGAACTTAAATTCTAAACTAATTTAGAAGTTAATTCTTAAATTTTAAACTAATTTTAAGACATGTAATCATGCCATCTCACTTTCAACTTGCGGATCTTGTCTGCTAATCTCTGAGCTGTCAGAGAGCTTAGTCCTGAAGTATTTCCTGTTTAGCTTGATATACTGATGATCTCACAAGGTCCCTTCCAGCCCTAAACTTCTGTAAAAGTCAAGAATACAGCCTAGTGACAGGTTTAGAAACAGATTTAAGTTCCTAGTAAGGCGGATATGACCAAAAGAACCATAGGAGTGTAGCAGCTTAAATAATGTATTAACCAAATACTGAATCCAGTATCCATACTTAGGGTGGCATATTAGAGTGGCATAACTCTCTGGGCCCAAAGAATAAATTTTTTACTCATGTGGCGTCCCTATGAAGATGTGAGGAAGGTATCTGACAAAGCTGATTGGATTTTTATGGATGTATTCTGTCAGTGATATTCCAGGCACAGCAGTGGGGTAAACCTACTTTCTCTGGGTCCTTGCTTTTAACGTCTGCTGTCAGAAATTGATGCTTCTGGGTAGAAATTAAGGTAGAGCAAAGGAAAACTACTTGCAAGTACCATTTATCTGTACTTTTCTCCAACTGTATATTTCTTTTGTAGTGATGGTTGGCATTATGTTAAGCTCTAGAAATCTGAAACTGAAAGAAAGTAGTCAGATCAATAGTTTAGTGCTAGACCTAGTTTTAGATAGGAAGACTGCACTTGTTCAGAAACAGCAATTTCAAACTGATGCCAGAGGAGTAATATGGAATTTTGGAGCACCAAGTACTCTTAACTTGTCGGAACTGAAATGCAACCTTCTTAAGTAATACTCATTGCACTCTTTATGTAACTGAATTGCTCACTGACTAAAGTGAGTTAGATAGATATATAGCTATTGTATCCAATCTTCTATTCAGGGGAACTTGAAATGAATAAAATAGACTGGTAAATTGAGGGTAGGCATTGGTGTCTAATATTGAAAGTAGACAAGTAAGCAAATACATTGTAGAAAGCTTGATTTATATTCAAAGATAACGAGATTGCTTAAGTCGTTGCTTTTGTTGGTTATAAAATTGTTTTTACTGTTTCATGTAACTTCTGTTTTCAGACCTGAGAATTCAGAGGGGCATATCAACACAACTTTAGATGTTCTTCCAGTTAAAGGACCTCAGGGTCCCTCATTATCTTTAAATACTGATGAACCTCTTCAGAGTCAATTAGCTTCTCAACATGTATGGGCTATTCAGCCTGAACATTTAATTTTGACATCACCTTCTCTTTGTGAGTATTTTATCCAAACCTTATAAAAGAACCACTTCAGTGTTTTCAATGAATTCATTTTTAGTTTGGCTTTGATAATTTGCTATATTTACACTGAATTTCAACAACAAATTGTTTGAACTTAAAAAAAAAAATTAAAGGTGTTTTTGAAATTAGCTGGAGCATGCCCTTAACCTCCAATGGATTGAGTTTTACTAATTCCTGCTAGCAAAAAGGTACCATAAAGAGTTTAAATCAGTGGTTGACAACCTTTTTGGCAGGTATGCCACAGATTAAGCCCCATCTCCTCCTTGAATGCTTCTCTGATTGATTCCCCCTGCCCCTTATCTTCCAGAGGCATATCTGATAGTTTGACCCTGGGGCACCAGGATTGCTTGAGTTACTAGCTGTAGCCATGCAGACCAGAGCCAGAGACAGGGTACTATTGCAGGAGAGGCATCACCACCAAGAGGCAGTAGAGCCAGGGAAGGGTCCTAGAGCTGATGCTCCTCACAGCAGCAAGAGTGGTCCTACCATAGCTCTGCTCTGTATCTCCATTTTGGTGCCTCCATTTACTAAACAACTGGGGTTCACATGCCACACAGCAGTTGCCTGTGCCACTTAAGATTAGCAACCCAAGGTTTAAAGTATGCTAGGGAAGTTGAGTAGAAAGTATCTTCCAATGGAATTGGTGTAGCTGTCAGGTTTTGTTCTGTCTTAATTTTTATTTGTAAAATCTTATCTGTAAAATCTTTTATGGTTGAGCCAAAACACCAAGTAAATATTTTTGGTTTGTTTTATATAATAGGTGGAACAGCAGAGACTGGACACCTGAAAATTATGAACAAATCAAGTAGGACGTTAAAATTTGAGATGTCTTGGCCAGCTCATTGTCTTACAGTTACTCCTCAGCATGGAATAATTGAGCCTGAGTAAGTCTCTGTTCAGTTTTTGCCACTGCAAAGAGGTTTTTGGAGGTGCTAATGTATAGTCTTATTGGTCAGATGGAAAACTATTGAAAACCTGGTAAAATTGGTTAATTTCTCCCCCCTCCCCATCTCCCCTCTGCTCACATACACACATGTCTGTCTTTTAATGTAAGTCCTATCATACATATTTTAATATTACTTCTGCTTTTTAACAGTTTGGTCACAAATTCAAACAAGATAAGTTTGAAATAAAACTGATACAGTTGACATCAGTTACATTTGCTGAATAAAAATAATGCATACCATAGTGGATTCAGGGGTGGAAATAGCTCTAAAAGTTTTGCTGTGTTAAAAAGGGTTTACATACTGAGTAAGCAACTAATTAGGCATGTAAGGAATTAAGTAGCTTGTCTAATTAAATACTAGAAAAAATGTCTAGGAAGAGATATCTAAGTCAAGATAAAGGACTGTAAGTTGCTACTTCAAAAGCTGTAGCAAGAAGCAGATAACAAATACTCTCCTTAGAATTGTCACTTGCGTGCAAATGTACCATCAGCTCAGACTTTTTGCTTTGATAGTTTCAGTAGAACATGACCTAGCTCTGCCGTTACTCATGCATCATGCAGAAGGCATCAAGGGTTGTGAGTGCTTCTTGCTCTTGAGTTACTTTCTTCCGCCTTGTCCTGTTAGTGTGCGCTTTGTGGTATCTGGGCTCCTGAAAGCACTTTTTTCTGAAAAGCTATGACTTTACCTGTTTTCATCCTTGTATTTCTTTTGCCTTTTTGTCAAAGTATGTAAAGATAAAGAGAAAAGACTTCTTTAGTTTGTTTTTCCTCTGACTTTTTCTTCAGATGGGTCCTCCCTACTTGCTTGGCCTTCATTTGTGCCATCATGAAGTAATGCCATTTTGGGGGCCTATCTTCCCCTTTTCTCCTCAAACTGAAGGACAAGGACCAAGTGAACACAGAACTGTTGTTTACCCAGTCCTTGAATATTAGAATTAGGGGGCATCCACTGAACTTACTGGGGGCATCCACTGAATTTCTGGGGTCAGGGTTGGGATCTTGCGGCAGTGACAGGTATGGTCCAGAGCCAGGGCAGAGCCTCAATTAGTTACCTGCATGCCCTGCTCAGCATGTACAGGCAGCAGATCACAGTTCTTCCCTGGCTCTGGACCATGCTGTCACCGTAGAAGATCCTGGCTCTGGAGCAGGTCCCTGCCCAGCTGCGTGCCCTGCCAGCGCTACTGGGACTGGTCTCCATGAAAACACTGGCCCTGTACTGTCATGGCCCTGCTGCTGCTAGGGTCTCCATGGAAACTGGCTGCAGTGATGCTGGCAGGGGCTGCTGGGAAATGGAGTCCGTTGTGGGCCCAATCCGGCCTCCCTGGGTTAAATTCAGGGTTGATAGATCTACTAATGGCTTTTGAATAAAATGGTTGGAGTTGTTTCCTTTGGCATCGCTAACCCAATAAATGGTGGATACCAGGGAGAGTTTTGACTTGGGGATGGATCACTCTATAGAGATATCTGGTTCAGCGCTCTCCCTGTAAAGCTTCTACTTCTGCTACTGTCAGACTGGGCTAGATGAACCGTTGGTGTAACCTAGTATGGTACTTATGTTCTATTGTCCTCTCCATGTCTCCATTTGGATTGAAAAGTCCTGGACCTTGCTAGCTTTGTTATGGTTTCTCTTCAGTGCCTGAGATTTGATTCATATTCTCTCCATTCTGTGACTCAGGCCATCTCCTTCAACAGACATGCTTAGCATCTGTACCAGAGGTCAGTACCATTTTGCCAGCATGGGCTGCAACTTGTAACCCAGCTATTGCTGTGGGCCACAATACAGCAGTATTTATCTGCTTTTTGCTAAAGCTTTTGAAGTAGCACTCGACTCCCCACTAGGGGCTACCTGCCAGCCTTCAGACTTGCTGCAGTTACCTGGCCCCTCTTTCAGCAAGGGAAATGTAGACAAAGCAGAGCACCAGGCCGTAAAGTGGAGATGAGTGGCATGGCACAACTGTATGCCACTGATCTGGCCTAGGACCAAATCAGATCTCTTTAAGGTCAGATTTGGCCCAGTGACCATAACTTGCCAGCCCATGAGCTGTACTGTCTGGGAGTGTATAAGCACTCTTTCAAAGTCATGTACATTAAGGACGTATGTATGTAGATAAGCATCTAAAGGAGAGAGAAGTTACTTATTAGTAAATGGGAGATACTTTATTCTCACATATAACCTGCATGCTTTCCGTCAAAAACAGCTAGGGAAAATCAGGGCATACATTCTATGTAAGGAAAAGGGATCTCCATGAGTCTGGAAATACATCTGGTGGGGTGAGGAGAGAGGCAGTGCATGAGAGAGTGGAGTAATGGCAGCATTAATTGTTGCATGTCTGGGAGCCATAGCAATTAATACTTAATTAATACTCACCCCCTCCTTTCATTTCCACCTGGCCACCATATTCTGGACTTGGCTGGACCCAGTGTGCCAGGTCTGATTCCTTGTGCCAGGTCTGACCTGGTGCACAGAGCCTGGGCCTATGTGCTGGTTGTGGGGCCATGGCTCTAGAGCCAGTGCATGGTCCTGGACTCAGTGTGCAGTCCCAGAACCAGCATGTGGAATTGGATCTGGCACATGGCTCCTGAGCCAAGGCAGCCCAGCACCCAGTGTGCAGTCCTGGACTCAGTGTGCCAGGTCAGACCCAACATGTGACTCTGGATCCACTGCACAGTCCTGAACTCAACATGCTGGGCTGCGCTGTGGTGGGGGAGGGGGCAGCAGGCTAAGCCCCCTTGCTGCTGCCTCTCCTCTTAAGAATCCAGGTGCATGCTATATACATGAAACTATGCTTGTTGTAGGCCATAAAATATGGTATTTGAGATTTGTCAATATAAGCATCTGCATTTCACTCTCTTCCTCAAATATAAACATTTAGTGCAACTTGTAGTCTGGAGCAGCTGAGGGGTAGGATGAACCTATTGCCAGTTACTGCTTGTGGCACAAACTTAGAGGGGTGGGGCTAGGCCAGAAAGCTGATGCTTCAGTGTACAAGTTGCATGCACACAGGGGTGAGTCCAGGGAGGGGTGCAGTGGCACAGTTTCACCCTCCCTTCCAGAGTGTAGCTCACATGCAGGTAGCTCCAGTTTCCCTGCAGTAGCAGATGCCTGGGTCCTCTGCAGAGTCTGAGGCATGGCTGGAGCTTCAGGCTGGCAAGGAATACCTGTGGGAGCCAAGCCCAAAGCAGGTGAAGTTGGGAACCCATGTGCTGCTGCTGCTGTCCCTGGCTGACTGAGGATGGGTGTAGGGGCTAGAGCTGCAGGTGCCCTAAGGGGACTGTGAGGAGGAGTTGTCTGGTGTGTTGGGCTCAGTGGCAGTAGGCAGGTCCCTTCTTCCTGTACCCTACCCTTGGATTTCTCTTGCTGGCCTGAGGTCTCTGACAAGGGGGGATGGGGGAATGGGAAAGGAGTGGGGGTACTGCTGAGCATTGGAGATGAAGGGGTGCCAAGGGTAGGGGAGTTGTACTGCCTTTGGAGATTCAGAATGGCCCTTGGCAGCTGCTGTCATGGCACCATGGTCTACCTGTGAGGTTGAGGGATGACTGCAGTCACCGTTCCAGTGCCAGCTGTAGCTTCTGCTCCCCATTTTTGGAATCCTAGGTCTGCCTATTCATGCACACGTTCATAAGTCTGATACAAGGCTGGATAGAAGTGTTTTCACATGATAAACCTTAAAAACAGAAGCTTCAGAGTACTGGCATATCTGAGATGGAGTCATTCAAAGAACAGATCACTATGTGGAAGAATAGAATCCTAACCTCTAACTTCCTATGGATACTCCTGACTTCTAGCTGCTTTACAACAGGATATTTTGAATTCCAGTGTGTTCCCTTTCAGCATCCCTATATTTATGTATATAGCCCAGAGGATGGTAACATTACAACCCTGCTGCTACTGCAGGCCACCCACTTTTTACCCTGCTGGGCACTGCCAACAGCTTGGGCATTTTGTCCCAGTATCCCCGGCCCCTTGTCAGCCTTATAGCTCCCCCCACCTTTAAGAGATGCTGTGGCTGTGTAAGGAGGTGTCAGCACAGTCAGCAGTCCAGTGATTAACACAGCAGCTTCTAGGTGTCCCGGGCTTTTTGGTACTGCCTCTCACTACTATGACCCCAGCTGACTTCCTGCCCCTGGAGCAGGGGGCTGGACTCAGTGATCTTCCGAGGTCCCTTCCAGCCCTAACGTCTATAAAATGTACCCCCCACGCACACGCACACGCACGCACACACACTGTAGTCATCACCAGCAGCAATTGGCAAATGTTAAATCTGGCATTGAGAAAAAGGCAGCAGCTTCAGTTTGGGGGCTGTACTAACTCCTGCTCCTGGATGTGCCAAACCCCTCCCCACTCTCCACTGTGGAGGAGACTAAGGCTAATGAGGAGACTATGGAGTTATTTTCCCCATCCCCACCCTTCCCATAAGCCAGTGCCTGCCCCACCAGCTTTGCAGGCCAGACCCAGTTTTGTGGGCTTTGGGTTGCTGATCTCTGAGTTAGAGTATTGGTGTGTTGCAGTCTGATCTAGCTAAATAACTTCTGTTCTTCTGAGGATGTCATGAAATCTTCATGATAAAGATAAAAGCCTGCCTCTTGTCCTTGCACAAGATGGATAGGAACCTTGATGCAATTTGAATACTCTGTTTCATTAAAATTAGTAGTGACAGTAAAGAAAGAGGAAAAACTGTTCAGTTTAAGGTTGTCATAAATACCACTTGCAATAATACATTGCTTCAAACACACACACACAGTATAAATAATAAATCTTACTTTCAATATGTGCCCAAACTGATTCCTATCCCTGGGGGTTCTGGAGCATGAAAATGGTTTTCTGCCTTATGTCACTTGCTAAGGTGTCAAAGGTAGACAGGGACTGCTTTCCACCATTGATGTTCATATTTTAGCACAGTGGCATTCAACCTTTTGGCCCTGTGAGCCAGATGAGGCACAGTTTCAGTCCATGGGCCATATCGGACCTTGTGTGCCGTGGTTGAGCCCTGGGCACCAGGATTGGTCCCAGCATTGCCCTGTGTGTCTTATCTAGCACACCGGGCCACAGTTCTGCAGGGGTCCCCATGGATCCCGCTGTTGTCAGCAGGGCCTGCCCAGAGGTAGCTGCCTCTTCACTGGGAGAAGGCAGTGCAGTGGGGGGAGCTGCGTGCCTGGGACAGTGGCACCAGGATTGGTGGCACCAGCGTTGATGCCTGTGCTCTCAGGCGAATCAACCTGAGCTCTCAGCCCAGGGCAGGCCTTCCCTTCTCTTCGCTCCAGCCTGTGCCAGGGCCAGATTCACCGCGCTGCTGCCTGCATGAGTTGTAGCTGCTGTGCTGGAGCCTGTTGCCCTCCTGTTGCCAGCAGTGTAGCTGAGCCAGAGCCACACTCTCTGGAACGTGGCACTGGTCCTCCCAGCCCCAGCCAGCAGTGTGGGGCAGTGAGTGGTGCCCCAGCCGCTGCCTTTCGTTCCGGATGAGGTGTGCTGCATGTACCTCATGCTGGAGGCCATCGCTGCTGTATCTCCACAGATTACCATTCTGAGAGTCTGGGTGGGGTTGAGGGCAGCTAGGGCCCTTCCAGCAAGGCTGGGGGAGGGGGCAGGGGACTGCAGATCAGGAGTGAGAGGCACTGGCAAAATGGGGAGAATGGGGCTGTGGCTTGGAAGTGTGGGGTACCAGGATGGGCAGGGGACTGGGTCAGGACTGAGGAGCACTAGCAGTGCCAGGGGACTGTGGGCCAGGAGTGAGGGGCACCAGAAGGGACGGGGGGCTGCAGGTTGGGAATGAGGAGCACTAGTTTGGCTTGTGGGGACAGGGGACTGTGAGCTGGGAGTGAGGGGCAGGACACCGATGTATCAGGGTTTGCTCAGTGCCACAAAGCAGCGGGAAGGACAGCTGCAGCTGGACCCGTGTTGTGGTGAGCGATGGTGGTGGGAGGAACTCTGACTTTCCACGATAAACCCAAAATCAAATGCCAGAATTTATAGGTATTTAGAATTTACTTTATTATAATGATTGAGGGCACTGATAGGCTTCCAAATTGCTTTAAAATGGTAAATATAGCAATAAAACATTGTGATGGGTGGATGGATATAGTGGCGTTCCATTTTAATAGTGGAAAAACACAGATTTGGGGGGTTTCAATTGGAGAGTTTGGGGGGATTTATCGGAGAATTTGCAGTGTGTAAACCGAGCAAATCAGAATCCTTGGTTTTGAGCTATTTTAACATTGTAGCTTTTCATTTTTGTGTAAGAGTACTATGCATTTTTTTTTTCTCTTTTTCAGGAGCTGCATAGTAGTTCTTGTGAGTCCTAATCCATCTCTTGCCACAAAGCTTTCAGAATTTCCATGGAGTGGTATAATTTATGTACACTGTGACAACGGACATAAGGTAAGCAGCTTACTGAAAAATTCTGTGAAGTTTTTATAACTCTGTTATTGCTGTCCTTTTGCTTTGACACTCGACTTTTTTCCTATTCCCATGAAAACTTCTTTTATTAACTTTACTAATTTATGTCAAAAACATTTTGAGATAAACTATTCAAGCCAAGTTTTATTTAAGGTCAGTTGCCGGTAGCTGTTTTTTGGGAATACAGTGTTCTTCATTTTGTAGGATTTACCCATGTTTGCAGAAATGTGAGGACAGTCTTTAAATTGACTGACTGAATTATTAACCGATGTGCATATGTGAAAACCCTGTAATTACTTAAAGTATGAAAGATGTATAAGTATTTAATATGGTCAGGCACTGTGGGGAAGCCCTGGGGATGGGGAGGGAGGTAGCGGTGGCACCTTTGCTGCTGCCAGAGGCAGCTGCGGCAGCACTCGGAGGTGGGGGAGAGTCCCCAGAAACTGCAGGGGACTAGGGGGTGGCTGTGGGGCCTGACGGGGAGCCCCATCAGTATTTGCAGATTCACCATTTGCAGGGATCTCCGGAACATCCCTTGCAAATGGTGAGGTTCTCCTGTATTTTGACACTGGTAGTCAAAAATCAGTTGTTCAGCAGTAAAAGCCCCTTTACTGCCACAGCGCTATCAGAAAATTCTCTGGGCTTGTCTTTCCTCAAAGCTTTATGTCTTTTATAGGAAGTTTTTGTTTCCTTCATGTTTTTTAAAGCAAGGGTAAAGAATATGATGGTCTGTTAGCTAACGATGATCACTGTAAACCAGATTAACCATGTTATACTATACTTATCACCATTAGAGACAGAATGGAAGGATAACACATCTGAAAAACTTTTCTGAGCATCGCTTTAGAGAATTTCATATCCTGGAATACATAAAAGACCTAACAATTTTAAGATCAAGCAAAAATTTAAATAATTTTTTTGTCATTATGATTTAGCTTGTGACATGAGGGGTGTGATTCGTGATGGCATACTTATGACTAAAGTAATTAAGAAGTAACACTTCGAATAATGTTAAATATAATGTTGTTCTCTTTCTCCAAAAAAAATCATGTGAAAGTTTGTTAAAGTACTCATTAGAGAAGAGATTGCACAGGATGCATCTGCGGGCTTGGCTTCTAAAACATCAACTCCACCATCTAGATCTCCTAGAATTCATATGGCAAAACCACTTCCAAAGCCACCTTCAACAAAAGTTCAGATAAAGAACAGGACAATAGTTTTCCCTGAAACAGGAACTGGTGAAAGCTCAGGTAACATCACTTTCTCACAGTTTTCACTTGCCGTAGTGTCAGATGTCCAGAATTAAGTTTTATGTATCTCAAGAATGCAAATAACTTGGATTCATCATTTTTATTCCTCCTGGGGGATAAGAGACTAAGGGACTGGCCATGACCTGTTTGGATAAAATAGTAATAAGCCGTGGTCTAACTTCTTATTTATCTAAATCTTTTTATAAAAAATACAACCCTACACCTTTTTCATAGATTCTGTACAAATACTATAAAGTTTAGGAGTTGTCGTGTCAGTGGACATTGATAATAATGCAGATTTTTGAATTCTCAGACTTAAATTATATTAATTGCAAGTCTGTGCCAAATTACAAAGTTACTACGTGAAATTCTCAGCACTATGTAACTACCAACCTTTTACCCAACATAAGGAACTAGAACTCATTTACCTGGGGGGAACGGACCCTAAAATGCTGCAGTCATTTTAGATTTTTGTTGTTAGACTTAGTTTAATAAATTTTCCCTCCTATGTTATTTCTGAGGATAAATTAGCTGTTAGTCTGAGGCCGATTATTCTCTTCCCATCCGTCTGTGAAAGTCTGTCTACTTTATAATATTATGAACAGCCTACCTACTTAAATACTGTTAGGCAGATGTGACTTTCTTCTTTTAAGATGTCTTTGAATACTGAGTTTGTTTCTGTGGGAGGATCACATTATTTCAAGGTGTGAGATGCCGTCAGGGATCTGTTACTTGGAGTTTCAGCTTCTGCAAAGTGTTGTCACATGGTTACTTTGACCATCTGCACATTAGATAATGTTATCTTTAAAGTTTAATTCTTGCCTACAATGGTTTCACCTTATTTGGAGTCAAGTCTGTTGGAACCTGCAGGTTTAACTTGATTGCCAATATTCCAGTGCAGAGCCAGTGTCCTAATTTGAGCAATCAAATTTATTGGGGAGGAGCCAGAAATGTTGAATTAATCTACATTTAGGTAAGATGATACAAAATACTTTGCAGATGCATTTTCCCAGGTCCAGATAAACTATGGCAGGAGTGTCAAACTCATACGACCCCACAGGTTGGGTGAAGGTCACTGGGCTGGTCTGTGAGTTGGATCAGGCTGCACTGGAGCCAGTGCCCAGGGCTGGTCCAACAGCGCATCACATGTAGCACGCATGCAACACCTGCTGCAGCAGGTCTCAGAAGCAGCACAGAGGATCCAGGGCATGGGTTCCATGCAGCAGCCTGCTAGCCTGGCACTGTACACTGGTTGCAGAGCCAGTCTGGATTGTACCCCAAGCTGCCCATGCATGCTGGAGCCAGCACAGGGCCAGTTCAAGGAGGCACCATATGTAGAGTATGCCCTGTGCTAGCCCCTTGTGATGCATGCAGAGTGAGCCCTGGAGCACAACAGGCATACGCTTTACTCAGCATGTAGGGCAGGACTGGCCATATGTATCACAGGAGGTCAGTATGGGGCCCATGCTGCATACGGTGCCCATCCAACCAGCCCTGTGTACTGGCTTCAGCTTGGCCTGATTAGGAGCAACCCCAAAACCAGCACTCTGGGTTGGTGAGGGTGCCATGCTTACTGCATGCAGTGCCCATGGTGCCAGGTTCAGCCTGCATGCTAGACTAGCTTCATGCCGCATGGACCAACCGTGTGTGTGCCACAAGGTCCATGGGCTGAACCATAGGGCTCCGCAGGCTGTTTATTTGACATACCCTGCAGTAAGGAGTATGGACTGTTTTACTTAGAGGTAGGCAAGGTACCACTCTGCACTTCACCACAGTGTTCTAGGTCTATAGTGACAATTCTAGTTCAAACTATTCATATATTCTATATATATATAGAAGCAACCTGTAGGCAGACAATGTTCTTTGGGTGAATCTGGTATCTTTTATTAGACCAACTAAGTAGTTGGAGAGCAATTTTTAAGCAAGCTTTCGGGTTCAAAAGCCCTTTGTCAGGGTAAGGAAGTTTTAGCAGTTGATGTGTGCTTTTCCTGGCTGGAATGAAAAGTAAAGAAGCCAGAGGCTGTGCTGGTATGCATACAAGATAGGCAGTCAGTGAAACTGTAGATTGAGGAGTCAATGGGTAAAGTTTGGCTGGGTGTGGGGGAGCGAAGGGGGATAAATAGTGGAGAAGTACCTGGGAAGTCAGCTGTCAGGCAGGTTATAATGTGTCAAATCCAATGTTTATATTTAGTCCATGATTTTTAGTATCCAGGAGGTTGATGAAGTGAAGTTCATAGGCTCATCTCTGGGAAGTGTTTTGCAAGTTTCCTTTGAGGATCAGGACTGAGAGGTTGGAGAGAGAGTGGTTTTCTTGTGAGAAATGTGCCCCCACAGGTAATTGGGTATTCTTGTCTTTGATAGATTTTCCGTGTGCGTTCATTCTGGTGCACAGTTGTTGTTTGGTTTCACCTACGTATTTTCTATCTCAGCATTTGGTGCATTGGATGAGATATATTACATTTCTGGAGGTGCAGCTGTAAGATCCAGGAATGCTGATGGCTCTGTTGTGGGTTGTAGTGATTGTGGGGGTGGTAGAGAGGTGTTGGTAGGTTTTGCATTTCTTGTTAACCTACACCCCTGAAGCAACCTGTAGGTATTCCAGGTCTTTATCTAAGCAGCTTAATGCTTGCAGATTTGTTGTCTTGCCAGTGACTTGCAGAGGGGTAGAGGGCTCTAGATGGTATGCCTTCTACCCTTTTATTTTCTGTTGGCAAACTTCAGGGATTTCAAGAATTATTTAAATTTGTGGTTTAGCTTCCACTCGTTGTAGATATGTCTTGCCATGTGATCTTTCACTAGGTGGAAAGCTTTACTAGACTTCTTATATCCAAATTCTAGTTGACATGCTACAGTTCTGCAGAAACAAGAACTTCATAATACATGTTAAAACGTCTAAAGCAAAATCAAGCAGAACCTATTCCTTGATGCCAAAATCATTAAAGTTGTTCATGGGTTGTTTGTTCTTTCTTTATCTCCATCGTTTGTTTTAGTCTTCAGACATTATTTGAAGGTATAGTTAATTAGAATAACTAATGCCAACATATATAAAATGAAATTATTTGGTTAATGAAACATACTAAATACTTACATATGCAGTATATATGAAACCTTTTTTCAGTTTTTGACTTTAGTAATTTCCTTTAGTTATGTGGTGCAGGTGAGAGCAGTGAGGCCAAATAAGTTGGCAGTGAACCCTGCATTTGGAAATCTGAACCCAGAGCTATAAAATACCTGCTCTAAACTTATCTATTTGTGTTTACTCACCTGAGATTCTTTTGTAGAAAACTACCTAGAAATTGAAAATAATGGGGATGAAGATGTGAAATGGTGTTTGTCATCCTTTGCACCACCTTATGTTAAGGTGAGTTAACATTTCCTGAAACTAAAGTGCCCATTTTATAAGCGTTCAGTGAGTCTTTTTAAAGGAAACCCTCCCTGTATGTGTGCATTTACTTAATAATCTGCTTCACTCTGAGAAATGTTTTACTAAAAAATGTTTATATTTTGCTTTTCCAATTTTAATCCCAAACTGTACAGTTACTGGACCATAAGTTATTGGGCTGTAGAGAGCTAACTGGTCACACACACTGATATGCCTAACTACCAGCATCTAGAATACATTTGTGTGTGAGCTTTACATTTCTACCAGGAAAATCAGTGTGTCCAGTAGAAACCCCAAGTGTACATGTGTTCCCACGGTTTCTCCCAGAAAAGAAATAGTGGTTTTGGGAGAAAAATAACCAGTGTGGTAGAAGGCAATCCTGGGAGAGTTTCTCCTTGGAGAACAAACACCTGTACACTTTTTCTCATTGCTTGATTTCTCCTGGGAACCAGGAAAATTTCCACCACTAGAAATTAATGCCTGTGTGTGGCCTATATTAAGTAGTCAAATGTACAAGGGATATGTCTATACTTCAGTCACATAAACAAGATAAATGAACTTATGCTAAGCTATATCCTGAAACGTGCAGATTATTACTAATACCCAAGATAGGTAGTTTAAAGGTAGATCAGTTATCTACACTATTTTAGTTGCTTCTGTGACTTGTAGACATAACCAAATTTCCTAATGTTTTCTGTAGTCCACTTGCTGTAGTTGTCTGATTACTAGCAGAAGGCAAGATGAAGCATTGGTATGGAGAAAAGATGGTTCTCAAACTGTGAACCTAATACTGTGGATAACATACTGTTCTTATTATTGTAAATTGTTAGATTAAAAGTTGCAACTTTTACTCCATGTTTTACTTTTAGGAGTTGATGTATTAATCTAGCTTGTGCAAAGTAAAATCAATCCTAAATGAGAGGTCAACAGTGTTTTTGGGCGTAGTGCCAAAAACACCCACAACCTTGACTTGTAAGATGTTGGGGCGGATGGTGGGGGAACCACAAGGGGCTCAATCCTTGTTGTAGCAGCACAGACCTGGCCCCTTTCCCACTGTCTGTCCTGAGGCACGCATGCCAAGCAAAATGCCTTTGTGCCATGCTCTGGCACCCATGCAGGGGTTGGCTGCCCCTGCCCTAAATCCTTTTGCTTGTTTTAGTAGGTTTTGATGAATCAGTTGTAACAAATTACTTCACTTGTAGGGTGTGGATAAAAGTGGAGATGTTTACAGAGCTACCTACTCCGCTTTCAGATGTTCCCGTGTATTTGGTACAATTGAGGGTCATGGAAAAGAGAAGGTAAGTTTCCATGTGTTATGACTTAAAGCAGATCAGTGCTGTAATAGCTTATCTGAAACGCATGGATTATGTGCATTAGTTTTTGTCCTTTAAAGCGTTGCTTTCCTTTCTATTCCTTTGAAGTTAGTATCAATGGGTCATATATAGTTCTTTCCACTTGCCAGCAGAGGGTTTCATAAGCACGAAGAAAAACCTATCCCAAAATATTGCATGTATTTCTGTAACGTTTTGAGCTCTAGACCTTGTCTAACTGTTCACACTTGCATCATTCTTATTTCATATTCAACAATTATAGCTTATTGTGAAGTTTTTTGATAATACATACAAGGTAGTGTTGTGTTATGCATAAAGTATTTCTTTGATCTGTAGGAGACAATCCTTTCAGCTAACATCTTGGATACTGTGCTATATTCAGAGCTTGCACCACTTTAACTCAAGGTGTCAATTTAAACAGATTGAGATGTCAGGCAACACGGAGCTGGCAAGCCAAGCTCGCAGTGTTGGTCACAGTGGTGCGGCCGGGTGGTGGCAAATTGGATACGGACAGGTGGGAGTTTTGGCGATGGAGTCTGAGCGGCACAGGAAGCGTAATGGTTCCTTAAACAAGATGGAATTTATTTAACTTATGCTTA